CGACTCACAAAAGTGACGTACTGTTCCGTTTTCTATTTGAGTCGTCTGGCTTACTCGGCCAGCTTAGAAAAGTATTCTTTCCATTAACGTCTTTCATACCGTTTTGAAACATTATGAGAATTTCCTGCCCACCTAACCTATCAGAAGACCCTTTACTTACTGTTGTTGAAAAAAAATTCTCAAATTTATATTAATTTTTTTTTTTTTCATTTTCAAATTACGAACATATTCGGCCATACGGGCAAACGGCCAAAAGCGACGTTCTTTTTAAGAGGACAGGTTGCTGTGAGGGACTAGGCTCTGGCTCTGGTCCTTGGTATGCCAGGCAGGGCTCCCCATCTAATGGGGAGTCCTGCCTAATGTAATAGAGTAATAGGGAGTTGGAAGTTGCGTCAACGGGATGTCTTTGGGGAGCTACCGGGGCTCAAGCAGAAAGAGGTATTTCATTACATTCAATGCTGATTTCTGGGGGGAGCCCCTACAGCTCCTCGGAGCTATCCAGGCTGATATGGATCTCCCTAACTTTGGCATCAGTCAGTGTGTATGGAGTTCTAGGCCTACCGGGGACCACGGCCAGAACCTGGGCCCCCCTCAGAGAGGCACGAGGGGCAATGGCCTATAGAAATGCACATGTGATTTGGAGCATTCTATATCTGTCATCGACTAGGACAGGCACCTAGAAAGGTAAGCACCTCAAAACAAACCCCCTATTCTGGTGAAAACTACTAAAATAGACAAACTAGTGGACAGAACTCCCCAAATAAAAACGAGCAAACGAGCATGACGTCACACGAGCCGCGCTGCATGTCTGCACAGCTCCCCCCCCTACCCGGGAGGGGGATGGGGGAGCCCCAGACCTCCGTGCTGGCGCTCCCAGTTTTGAGGCCGATATGATTGTGGCATGGTCGTGTGGCTCCAGCTCCAGTTTCTCTCTGTTGTGCTGTGCCTTGGGTCCAATACTGCTCTTACGGTGGTGTGCGAGTTGGGAGTATTATTCTCAGGTACTTGGGTTGCATGTGTTTAGGGTCACCTTCCCTGAGTGCCCTGTAAGTACTGCCCTTGGGGCTTGGGGTTCTCTTCCACAGGTCACCTCGGGTCTACCTTTGTTGGTCCTTTGCTTCTTGGTGATTGGCCACCCCGAGTGTGTTGAGGGTTTTCCTTTCTTGTTACCTCGGGGTAAGAGGTAGTTTTTGCACTGGTAGCGGCACAGGGTACTGCACAGCTAGTTTTCACCTATAACAGGGGTCGGCTCTGTTCCTCCTATGTACGTTGTCCTCTTGTAGGCTTTTTCTTTTATTTTTGTTTTTGCCTGGTGGGGAGGAGGGGTCTGCTTTGGTGTTCCATTACCCCCTGTTATATTAGGGTCTTGACCTCTGTTGTTCGGTAGTACCCCGTGCTTAGCCCCCATGAGTGGACACGTCCCGGGGGCTCAGGTTTAGCAGTTTGTTTGGTAATCTTGGGCGCCGGTTAGCAGTTCCTTGTCTGGGCTTACCCTTAGCGATACCAGTCTAGGGCCTGGGAAACCCTGCAGGGGCACACAGGGTCTGATGGATGCAACTCCCTGGGGTCCCCTCTCGCCTTGTGCGAGTTTGAGGGTTGCTCTGTCCCCTTGCCTCAGGGCAACGTTCATTGTTTTTACCTCTGTCATGCTGCTTGTTGGGTCGGTGACACCTTTGACCCGGAGTCCTGTGAGCATTGTTGCTTGTTTGTGACTCAATTCACCCAATCTACTGATGACATTATTTGGGTATAGGCAGCACAGATGCTGCAGACTAGGTTTAAGTTGCTGCAACGTGCTAGGTTGGTTGCTTCCCCGAATGCCCGAGGCTGCCCCGCTTTGCTTATAAGCGATCAACCACCCGAACTTTGGGGTGGTTGATCGCTTCTGCCTTGGTTCAGTCCACACCCCCTCGTTCTTCCCCCGTTGTAGTTCATTCTGTACCCCCCCCTTCCCCCCACCCCCTGCTTCTGGCTCCTAGGCGCCTGAGGGCTTCGGGGTCGGGGCAGGGGTTAGAGGTTGCCGAGACTTGGGCAGTTTCGGGGGCTGCCCCTTCCTGGACGGTGATGGAGGCATTCGAGTCGGTTCTTCCAGCCGTGACACTGGGGTCTGACCAGTGGGCCTCCCTCTCTTCCTGCTTTTTTCGGCCGCTCAGGCTTTTTCTTCTGAGGCCGGGGCTTTGGAGGATGACTCGAGGGCCTGATATGGAGATTCCCGGGGTTGGGAAAGAGTTGACTTGGGGGCCCTTGGGCCCCATTGGACCCCGCCTCGGTTTTCTGACCCTCCGAGCAGGCTTACTGCTACAAGGAGTGTCCTTCCCTTTCCTTCCCCTCCCCCCCCTCCCCCCCCCTTCGGTTGTTCGGGTTCAACCTTCGGGTTCGGTTGTTTCCCTGCGAGTCCTTCGGTTCCGTCTTTCTGGAGGTTTCGGCTTCCTTCATTTCACCTACTGAGGTGCGGGCAGCACCTCAGTAGGCGAAATACTGAGCGCGGGCGCCTACTGAGGTGCAGGCCTGCGTGACCCGGAGTATGCCTCTATAATGGATCCGTCTTCCTTCAGGGTTGGGTCTTCGTCTCCATACTAGGTTCGTTATGAGGTTCCGGAGTCGTCCTGGCTAGCAGACTGCCCGTTGTTGTCGTTGGATGCTTGGAGCGCTGTAAGGTACGGGATTGAAAGCCGTACCCAAGAGTATCGCTAACAACACCCGCTCTTACTTTCTTAGAATTAATGGGAGGGTGCAGGTGTCTATGTAGCAGTAATAAAGAGTTCTATCTATATGGGACAAGACATACATCTTGGGGGTACAATTTTACAAAGGGTTTTTATTTAACAATACTAGATTATCTAACACTGATTAGAACAGGGGGAAGGGGTGTACTTAGACCTACCACAGGATTGTTACAGACAAAGGTGGGGGGGAGGGGGATGGTTCCTTTCAACCAACACACACCTTAGGAGTCAACTGGCAAAAGGCTCCACACACAACAGGTTAGGTCTCTACAAACTGGGACTATACAAACTGGGACTCAGGTCATCACTATACTCCACTCCTCTTAGGTAACTACAAGGGTATGAGTTTTATCAATACACTGTCCTGACCACAATACACAAAGAGGTGGACAAAAGTAAATGTGGATAACACTATGTAACACAGAGAGCTGAGCACATGAATAAATAACACAACACACTACCAACGCTGGCCAGCCCACCCTTGGTTTCAGGCGCTGCTTGCTCTAACTCGGAGGTTCCCCCGGCTCCTCTTCTTTCAGCAGATCGGTCCGGTCTGTTACAAGACTGATTCGATCTTCTCCTCGGGTCTTTGCGTTTGGTCTTTTTTGACTTGGGTCTATCACCATCTATATGGCGATCAGGTGGCTTCTCTGGTGGTGTCCCACCTGAGGGCTTCGTCTCGGCGGCAGTTTGAAGTTTCCTGGTTCGGTGTGGCCCCTTTGGTTCAGGATTGTTTTTCTAAGGCTCTTTTTCTTGTTTTTTCTTGTTGGCATTGGCCTCTGGTGGTCGGGTTGGAGAACTTCGTGCTCTCCTCCGGCGCAGGGATTTCTGCTCTTTTGGTCATGGTGATACGTTTGTTCATTTGCAGCTGTCTCCTTCTTTGATGGCAAAGAATGAGACTGCTGCTTTCTGAACGGTTCTTGGGTGGTTGATGCTTGGTTGGTCAGGCTGGGGGTGCATCATGTGTTGTGTTCTGTTGCAGCTCGCCACCATTACTTGCGCGCCGCGACCTCTGTGGCCAGGGACACGCTTTGGGTTGATCCGATTTCCCCTCTTCCCTATTCTCGGGTTCGGGTCTCTCAGGTTGTCCGCAGGATTATTAATTCTAGCCAGCCTGCAGTCTATCTTTGTGCCCATGACGTTCGCAAGTTTGTTGTGCTTGCTGCTGTCTTTGGTAATATGTCCTCGGCTGACATTCAGGCACGGGGTTTTTGGAGGTCGAACAGGGTCCTGGTTACACGCTACCTTGGGAATGTTCCTGGGCCTAGTTGGGCCTGTGTCGCTTTAGGTCGGCGGTTGCAGCCTGTTGCCTCGACTTTGAGTTGAGGTGTTAGCACCGACCACCTCCCGGTTAAGCTCCTCTCGTTTTTCGTCTTTGGGTAAGTAGCTCTGAGGAGCTGTAGGGGCTTCCCCCAGAAAACCAGCGTTGAATGTAATGAAACGCCATTTTCTGGGGGAGTCGCAGAGGCTTCCTGGCAATCCTCCCTCCCTCCAGTCGACGGTTTTTGCGTATTGGACATCCAGCCTCAGAACTGGGTGTGGGTCACCAGCACTGGGGTCAGGGGCTCCCCCTTCTCTGGAGGGGGGAGCTGCACGGACATGCAGTGTGGCTCATGTGACGTCATCTTCTTGAGGTTATCTTGAGGTGATTTCGTGGCTTAGCGTCCCTGTGGCCCGGTCCTCGACCAGGCCTTCTTTTTGTTACACACCCTCCAGGAAGCAGCCCGTAGGAGCTGTCTAACTCCTAGGTACCTATTTTCTGCTAGGTAACGGGGGCATCAGGGTGAAAGAAACATTTTGCCCATTTGTCTCCGCCTCTTCCGGGGAACGAACCTGGACCCTCAAGGCTACGAATCTGAAGTACTGTCCACCCAGCTGTTAGGCGTCATGCTCGTTAGCTCGTTTTCATTTGGGGAGTTCTGTCCACTAGTTTGTCTATTTTAGTAGTTTTCACTAGAATAGCGGGTTGGTTTTGGGGTGCTTAACTTCTGGGTGCCTGTCCTGGTAAATGGCAATATAGAATGCTCAAAATCCCATGTGCATTTCAATAGGCCATTGTTCCTTGTGTCTCTCTGAGGGGGCCAGGTTCTGGCCCCGGTAGACCTAGAACTCCATACACACTGACTGATGCCAAAGTTAGGACCATCCCTATCAGCCTGGATAGCTCTGGAAAGCCTCCGGGACTCACCCAGAAAATGGCGTTTTATTACATTCAACGCTGTTTTTTTTGTGTTATGGTTCCTTCATATACTTTTTTGTGGGGGGTCGTCTTAGCTTGAAGTGATGAGTGCTGTCCGGGAAGTTCAGTCAACAATCCAGGTGATGCTGGCAAGACAGGAGTTCACTGCTGCACTTGACCTCATTTCCACTACGCAGGATCTTCTACACACAGAGCTTGGCACTATAAGAAGCCTTAAGTAAGTTTAGTGGTATTGTCTTTAATATTATTTGATCATTATGAAAACCTGTTGAACTTGGTTATAGAGATGTCAGTGGGTAGCAGTTTAATTAAAACGTTTACTGGTTTCGTTAAATTGCTTCTATAGAGTAGTTATCATAAGACATGTTTATTAATTGATGCTTTGCAAACTCTGATAAAATAGAGGAAAAATGCTGTTCATACTGTGGGTACTTTATTTGCAAGTAGCATTAATACAAACTTAGGGTTACACTCAGTTATTCTCATATGCTAGGGTGCAAGCTGCCACAAAACAAACATGAGCTTCACCCTCTTCCACAAGTCTTGTTTATCAGTGACCAATGTCTTAGTAATTTCCTGTACTTTATCTGCCATTCATTTTGCCTACTACAGGTTGATCATTTAGGCTTATCTATATAATTCTTACAGCTTTTCTGAGGGGAGCCCCTTTGGCTTCCTGCAGCTATCAGACTGATATGTGTTATATTAGTCTGGGGCATCAGTCAATTGGCATTCAGCCTACCGGGGACCACAAGCCAGATCCTGGCCCCCCTCAGAGAGGCACAGGGAGCAATGGCCTATGGTACCCCCATGTGTTTGGGAGCATTACATGTCCACCATCAACCGGGGTTAGCACCCAGAAAGGTAGGCATAACAAAACAGACCCCACAAGGTAAGAAAAAATTGCAACCGAAGACCGAACCAGAGAGGCAGTACCTCCCCCACTTAAAGGAACAAGCAAACATCACACTCCACTGCCACGCCGCTTGTCCATGCAGGTCCCTCCCTCATCCACAGGAGAGGAAGGGGGGATGCCCCGAACTTCATGCGCCGGCTACCCAACAACTTTACTTCATAGGCTGATATGGTGTGGGCTGGATGTTGATTCTGGCGTCAGAGTCTTAGGCAGTTGTGTACCTTAGTAGTGTGTTCTACAGTGTGTGTGGTGCAGTGGCCAGGACAGCTTTGAGAGTACTGGGGCTGCATGCGCTTAGGGTTTCTTCTCTAGGCGCCCTGTAAATATTACCTTTGGGTTCTAGGGTGCCCTTCCATAGAACTTTCGGGGACTGCTTTCTTAGGGGTCTTTGTCGCTCGGCTCTTACCCCGTCCTTGGGGCCAGCAGCTGGGGTTTTCGTGGCCTTTTGTTTGGCCTTGGGTAGGAAGTAGTAGTTTTTCTTTTATTTTTGTTTTCCTTGCCTGGCGAGGGTCTGTCTGGTTTGGCTATTGGTCCACGTCTGTTGTTTGGGTGACCCTCCTTTATGCCCCTGTGATTGTACACTTCACAAGGGTTCAGCTTTAGCCGATTCCCTTGTTAGTTTGGACCCAGCCGGTTTTGCTGTATCTTGTCTGGGCTTCCTGTAGCAGTCAGATTGCAGGTCCTGGAAATCCCCATTGGGGCTCATTAGATCTATGGGTGCGTCTTCTGGATTCCACCTCACCTTGTGCGAGTTTGAAGGTTGCTGTGTGCCCTTGTAGGGGCCTGACAGCTGAGTGGACAGTGCTTCGGATTTGTAGTCCTGAGGTTCTGGGTGCGATCCACGGTGGAGGCGGAAACAAACGGGCAGAATTTATTTCACCCTGATGCCCCTGTTACCTAGCAGTAAATAGGTACCTGGGAGTTAGACAGCTGCTACGGACTACTTTCTGGGGATGTGTAACAAAAAAGGAGTTACAGGTCGCGGGGACGCTAAACCCCGAAACCATCTCAAGATACTCCTCAAGATTGTCTCTGGGTGACAGTCACCATTTTTTCCTCTCTTGCTGCCTGTTGGGTCAACAACACCTTTGATCCGAAGTCTCGTGAGTCGTGCTCTCTGCTTGTTCTCCAATTTACCCAGACCTGGGGAGGCGTTAGTCGCTTCGACTTTGGTTCAGTCTGTGCTCCCTGGTCCTTTCTCTGTTGTTCATGCTGTTCCCCCATTCCCCCCCCCTCCTGCTTCTGGCTCCCAAACATCTGAGGGTTTCGGTGTCGGGGCAGGGCTTAGATGGTAATGAGACTCGGGCAGGTTCCGGGGCAGGCCCTTTTGGGTTGGGGATGCAGGCATTCAAGCCGGTTCCTCCTACCAGAGCTTCAGGTCCCACCAGCAGGCCCCCTTCTTTTCTGCCTTACTCATGGCCTCTGTCTTTTCTTCAGGGGTAGAGGGTATGGAGGACTGCTCTGCCCTGGGTCCTGGTTTGGAGGATTCTGGGGCTGGGGAGGAGTTGACCTGGGGGGCTTGGGACCCCTTTGCCCAGCTTGGGTGTTGGTGCCCTCTTCGCGGGGTTTGTTGTTGCAGGGGGGAGTTTTTTTTTTTATCCCCTTCCCTGTATGAGTATGATATGGGGTCAGCTCCTTTCTGGGTTCCCTTGGGTTCCTCGGTTCCTTCTTGCTGGAGGTTTTCTGCCTCTCGTATCTCACCCAAGTAGGTTCGGGAGGCACTTGCTACTTACTTCCTGCGAGACCCAGATTCTGCCTTCGTGATGGATCCATCCTTGTTTGAGTTCACTTTTTCTTCCTCGTATTGGGTGTGTTTGGAGGTTCCGGAATCTTCTGGGCTGGCAGACTGCCCATTCTTTTCGTTGCGGCATGACATGGGTTCTGTTAGACCCGCATCCTTGGGATGTTGGCCTTGTGCAGCTGCCCATGCAGGTTCTCACCCTTTCGGCGTCTTTGGTCGCCGAGGATTTGCGTGCCCGTGACACTTGGTTTCAGTCTTCTTTTTCCTTCTCGAGCTGTCTTCAGCCTGACTTGAGGAAGATGTGGAGGCATTGAGTGCCCGGCCTTCATCTGGTGCACTGGCTGTGCTCGCTCTTTCTTTAGAATCTGCTTGGGCCCTGGCTCCTATGTTTTTGTCTCCGTTTTGTCAGTTGCTGTTTACGGAAACTGCAGTCACGCAGTTTCTGCAGGCGGCTTTGTCTAGTTCTCGTCCTATGTAGGACTTGTTGGTTCTCCGGGGTGGTCGTTCTCGGCCTTCTCGGAAAGGTCGTACCAGGGATCGGGGTGCCACAGATTTGGGTGGGCCATTGGGGCCAGTTTCTAAACCGAAGTTGCCTTCGAAGCCGGTGTCGTCTGGTCAGTACGGTGATCACACTGTTCGTCGGCTGGCTTCTCGTAGTATCGACCCTTTTTGCGGTTCGCCCCCATTGACGGGGCGATGGGGGAAGGCACACACTGTTTGCTCACACTTGGTCCCATAATTTGTGGGCTTTTCGGGTGGTATCCACCGGCCTGTGTTGGCATTGGGTGGTTCCTCCTCCTCCTTCGGAGAGTTCAGGGCTCATGGGGCAAGCTTCTTTCCCTGTGCTTCGTTAGGTCATCTTGGAGTGGGGTCATCATCTCCACGCTTGGGCGTGGTTGAAATGACCCCGTTCCTCAGGCTGGAAAATGTTTCCAGTGCCAAAACGGGACTGTGCGGATATGTTGTTTATTCTTTACTTGTCCCATCTGAACCTATAGATTCCTTGCCCCTCCTTTCAGATGACCACTCTGTCTCGGGTTCGGATTCTCTTGAAGCCGGGTGCATGGATGGTTTCGCTGGACCTCAGGGACGCTTACTGGCACGTTCACCCAGGGTTCACCCAGGATTCAGGGAATGGTTAGATTTCATGGTGGGGCATCAGACATTCTGCTTTCGTTGCCTTCCTTTTGGCTTGAATCTAGCACTTTGCATATTCACACGTCTTACCCAGGTTGTGGTGACCCGTCTTTGTCTGCTAGGGGTTCCAGTTCTGGCCTACCTCTATGACTAGTTGGTGTGGACTCCCAGCTGGTCTGCTTGTCTACTCGCCAGGGGTGTGGTTCTTTCCCAGCTTGCTGGGTTAGGGTTCCTGGTGAACTGGAAGAAGTCCCATCTGGTTCCGTCCTAGGTTCAGACCAGGCTGGGTCTTGTTTGGGACTCTCGGACTGCTTCCACGTCTCTCCCTCCGGAGGCATTACTGTGGCTGCTGTCCTGCCTTCAGCTGTTTCTGAGGGGTCCCAGGTAACTCAGTGGTTGCTCGAGCAGTTGTGTGGGCGTCTGAACTTCGCCTTGCTGGTCTACCTGCTGGATCGGGTTTGGTGGCTGTTCTGGTTCCTTCGGAGATACCCATTCTGTTTCTCTCACGATCACTGGGTTCGTCCTCCGGGGGCCTTTCATCAGTTGCTGTGTCGCCGGCTATCTTTTTTTTTGGGGGGGGGGGGGGGATTCAGTGCCTAGGCGTCTACCCGAACCCTCACTCGGTGTGTTCACAGATGTGTCATCTCTCGGCTGGGGCTTTGTGACCAGTGCCCACCAGGCCGACCAGTGATGGTGGGATCCGTCCCTCTGTCAGGCTCACAGCACAGTGTGAGAGTTTGTGGTGGTGTGGCTTTCACTTCGGAGGGTTTGGGTCACTCGGGGTTCGACTATCTGGCTCCATTCAGACTGTTTTCTGATGGTTCATTGCCTGAACCAAGGGGGGTTCTCTTTGGTCCTTGCCTCTTTGGGGTTGGTCACTTCAAGCGGCTTGTCTGCTGACTTTTCAGGATTTGACTCTCCGTATGGTTCATATCCAGGGGTGTGTCCAACGTTCTGGCAGACAGCCTGCCTCGGTCCATTCCTCTGTCCAAGGAATGGACAGTCAACACCGACTCCTTCCGTTGGCTCTGCCGGATGTACGAACTCCTGGACGGCACCTCGTCATGTTGGTGTGGTCTCAGCGTCTCCCGATCTGTGTGGCGCCCTTCCCCGACTGCAAGGCTGTCACTGTGGACACCTTTTGGCGAGACTGGTCGAGGTGGGGTTACCTGTACATCTTGACCCCGGTCCAGCTATTGCTTCAGGGTCTGGCTTGGTTAGGGACTACTCTTCTCAGGGAGAGTAGTCCTCATGGCCCCTTGGTGGCCAGCCCAGCCTTGTTTTTAGGCGCTGCTTGCTTGGTGTGCGGAACCCGTGGCGTTTCCTGCAGTTCCGACCTCTTCCAGCAGGTCGGACCAGTCTGGTACACGGCTGGTTCGGTCTTCTCTGCTCTTCGCGTCTGGTCTTTTTGATGCGAGTTTAT